TCATACAGCCAATATAATATATTCCAGACGAGAATATTGAATACAAATACGATTTCGTCATTAATTTTACTTGAGGAAGACCTCCCCCCCTCAAAACTGACTTATTTTATTTCATTTATTTTAATACTATAATATAGGTATGCATTATAATAATTGATTTTAAAGTATAATGAACAACAAAATATGTTTATGTTATTAATATATTATTATATTGATGGCTTAAAGGCCAAATAATATGATATGTCACAAATACCAAAATGTTCAGGAGAGCCATTAAGAGTTTTATTATTTTTCATATTATACTATAGTTTTTTTTTAAATGAAAGTTTTAACTTATGTGTAAACTTTATATGGTATTTAATTTACTATATAAAATTAATTTGCTAGTTTAACTCTACTAAAACTCTATATTTTTTTTTTTTTTTTTGGAACTAGAATAGACTTATTACATGTAAATCAACAACAAGAATACAGGAAATTAAAAAAAGACATGTAACCAGTATTTCACTTAATTTAAAAATTACCAAGAACGATGCAAATAGCTGGAATGTAGATAGTGAACATACACCAAGTAAATCGTATGTTGTTAAACAAATTAACAAGGAAATATGTTGTGTAATAGTTTGTAGTCATAGGCGTGCGCAGACCTGAATTTCGGGGGGTGCCTACAATTTTTTCGGGCCCTCTCTTAAAAAGACATGTACTTATTTTAATAAATTATAATGCACAAATAAACATGGCTTACAGTTTTTTATTCAATATTGTAATATAAAAATGATAAATTTATAATAACATGAGCCTATTACTTAAATTACTAAACTCATTTATAACCAAATCTACATCAACATTAGAGGCCATTTCTTGTTCTGTGAAAAGTAAAAATAATGATTTCAGACGGTCTTGGGCCATAGTATTTCTTAATTTACTTTTTAGGATATTTAATTTTGAAAATACTCGTTCACATGAACAACTAGTAACGGGTATAATGCTGAACATTTGTAGTATTTAAAAAAAACAATTAAAAATATTATATCTACCGGAATCTACAAAAACACAGATTCATTAGTAGTTCCTTTAAGAATATTCTTGTCTGTCGAGTTCTTGAGAAGTTTGATTTCAGCAATTAAAGTATCTGATGAAATTTTCGCAAACTTTTCCAAAATGGTAGCTATTTCAGTAGTTATATTTAAATTTATAATATTTGCAACAGCATTTATAAGGCAAATTGTATCTTGTTTAAACTTTAAATCTTGAATTTATTCCAGATTATTATTATTATTATTATTATTATCCATTACTAGATGATCATCTAGTAATGGATAATATACAGAAACTTTTAATTCTTCATATTTAGTCTTAAAAAAATACTTGATTTGAAGGAGATGGTTCAATTTTAGTTAAAAAAAGAAAAGTTACAACTAATTTTCTTTTTATACTTCTGGAATATTTATTTTATGCATTGTACACATTTTTTCAGTATTGGAAAATATAGTTTTGTATTCTTCATCATTATTTATCATGTTTAATAAGGTATTCTTTAAAGTATTTACACTTTCTGCTGCAATCAAAAGGTCAATTTTTGGAGACTGCAGTGTAGAACTTACTTTTAATATTATATTTAAAATAGGACTCATTAATTCCATGTCAAAAATAAATTCAAATGTTTGGAGTTGTTGTAAAATACCAATTCCTTTTGCTCTAATCTCAGCTACTGAAGTGTTTTCACATAT